GCTTTCAAGGACCTCCCGCGTTCAGGGCCTGACTCGTTCCCACCAGGCACGGCAGATCGTGGGGAAATCTCCTTTGCCCCTTATCTCCAGCCGTTATTTTCCTCCCCCAACAACGGATCATCTCGGGATGTGTTTTGCTTATTAGCCCAGCATTGCAAAACCTACATCCAGTAAACCTTTCCCCTTCAAACAAATAAATAAACTCCTGAAAACTGGTCTCGCTCTGCTTCCCCACGCCGTCCCCGGCCCACACATTGCGTGGCGCGGCCCAAGGATGGGAATGCGGGGAGCAACTGCCTAATTGATCTCCAACCTCTAGCTGCTCTCCCGAGAAAACAGAGCCCCCGTGAAAAACAAGCTGGGCTTTGAAATACTTTCTGTTTCCATCCCTCTGCTGGGAAGGATGTTTGAGGGCTGAGTCCCCGGATGATGTAAATCCATTATGTCAGGATCTGGCCGCTGGTTTCCACCCTGATATCGCCCCTTTCTCACGGAGCGCTCCAGGGACCCGCGGCTCTCGGTGGAGGGTTTTCTTTCACCTCCCTCCGCACCAGCCTGGCTTTCCCACGCTGGTGTTCGCTCCCTGGGACCCGGCTCCCTTGCTGACGTGGTTTTCCAAGCACCACAGTCTCCCTCAACCGTCGATGGTCTCCTGCCCCATGAGACCCTTGCACCTTCCCAGGAGGCGGTGGGTGGCCATGGGGTGCCGTGGCCCGCGCCCCACGATGGGCAGCTGCCTGCTCCGGCAGGGCCAGCCCCACGGAGCCCGGGGAGCCTCTTCCCTGGCTGCAAGGCAGCTCCCCCTGACGTGTCGGACATATGATGTTTTCTTGAGCCCTGGAATAAATAACCCCCCGAACTCACACCCTCCCACGCAGGCGGCCAGCTCCTGCAAGCCCGTGGTCAGCTGCACCGCCCAGCACTGCCCCGTCTGCGCACCGCGTATCCCCGCAGCGGCGAAGGCGCAGGAGAGGTAAGGGGGTTTCCTCTGTCCCCAAACGGTCGCTGCAGGGTTGTGGCGATGCCGCAAGTTTGGCTTCTACCGCGGTCTTTGGTCCCTCACTTTGCTAATTCCCAAAGGGATCTGGGCTCCAGACGCCTTCTCCCCTCTTGCTCCGGCCGCATGGCTGGGCCATGGGATGGGTTGTGTCCTGCTCGTCGGCAAAGCGGGCAGGCAGGGCTCCTGGTGCTGACCTCGGTGCATTGCTCTGTGCCTCCGCTCCCTGCCTGCGGAGCGGTGGGGGGATGATCGCCACGCCAGCTCTGAAGGGCATCCCAAAAACCCTCGGAAAAGCTGCACCTCTGCAGTGTGCTGCCTGAGGCGCAGCCCCAAAGGCCGAGCTGGGGGGGCAGCGGGCTGCACGGGCGTCCTCGCAGCGCCGGGGACAAAGCCAGTCCCAAAGCCCTGCCAGGAGCAGTTCAGCTCCGTCAGGAGCTCGACACCCCCGTGTTCTGCCCCGCGTTGCCCCCGTGCCCTCCCCAGCTGCCCCGCAGCTCTCCAGGACCGAGCGCTTTCAGCCCCGGGGAGCAAAACGCACCCAGCGCTGTCTGCAAACAACTAAGCAGGCGAGCAGGATGAGGCCGGCGCTGGCTCGGCTCGGACAGCCACAGTGGCCCCGGGCTGGGCTGCGCTCCATGGATGACCTGTCAGCAGTGATGGATGGAGAGCTGGAGGCAGCTCTGGGCCCTCCGTCTCCCCGAGGCAGGTGCTCTGCTCTCGCCGCTGCCGGTTGCTGCCTGGCTGCAGCCCTGCCTTCACGCCTTGCAGCCGCCAGGCACGGGAGGAGCTGGTTCCCTGACGGTGACCACGGCGTCCTGCCGAGCCGTGCCACGCTGGGGCCATGGGGCTGTGCGGGGTCTGCTTCCCCGCGGCTCTGCTCGTCCTCGCAGCCGCAGGGGTCCGGAGCCGGGAGGCGGGTGAGTGAGGACGTCCCTGTGCATGGCCACGCTGGGGAGGTGTCCCACCGTGGGGCATACATGTCCCCGTGAGGGATGCCACGCTCCAGCCCCCGCAGCCAGGATCCCACGTAGCCCGGCTGCGTGTCCGTGCTCTACCCATCAGGACCGTGCGCCCTCCACGTGCTGGTGGCCCTGGATGTCACGGACTACCAGCAGTCCAACCTGCAGCCCTACCTGGAGCGGGTTCTGCGGGACCTGGCCGCGCTGGACCGCCTCACCTGCAGCCCGCTGGACCTGAGCATCAGCCTGCAGAGCACGCAGCGGGATGGGGAAACCTTCTTCCAGGACCGGCTGCAGGAGCCCTGGATGGACGTGTTGCAACGCCTGGCGCGGGCGCATGCCTTCCAGCGCTCCTACTTCAACCAGCCCGCCCTGCAGAGCTTCCTCGGCACCCTGGCACGGCAGACGGCCGATGCCAAGGTATGGCACCGGCACAGCCATGCCCATTGCTCCCCGCGAGGCTGGGGGATGCCGGGCGCTCCCGCTGCCAGGGGCTGCTGCAGAGCACCAGCCCCCGCCGTCCTCGCCCAGGTGCTGCTGGTGTTCACGGATGGGCTGGACGATGATGCAGGGAAGATGAAGGAGGAGGCAACATCGGCTTGGATGCAAGGTGGGGTGGCAATGGCTGCGTGGGGCTTGGCCGGGTGACCCCTGTGAGCGGGGAAAGCTGGTGGAGGCCGGGAGCCACCCGGTGTGGCGTGACGCCCCACGGCACCCCGTCCTTTCCAGATCAAGCTCACCTGCTGGTGACGGTGGCGGTGAACAACGCCACGGGGCTGGGGGACCTGCAGCAGGTGGAGTTTGGGCGATGGCTGGGGAGCGGGCAGCAGCTCGCCGTGGACATGCCGGAGGCCGGCGGGCATGTGGCACAGGAGCTGGTGAGGACGAGCAGCGGTGGGGTGGGTGGCGGGGTCCCCGTGGGCTCTGAGTGGGGATGCCACCCTCTCCCCGCAGCTGGCCCTGGCAGAGCGGACGTGCTGCCAGATGTGTCCCTGCACCTGTGTGGGGCTGCCCGGTCCACGAGGTCCTGGTGGCCCCCGGGGGGGCAAGGTAAGGGGCTGGGGGAGTGGGGGGATGCGGGAGGGATGCCCAGCCCTGCAGACAGCGCAGAGCAAGGCTTAGACCTTTCCCTTCCCCATCAGAGGGGATGTTTCCCCAGGCCCCCCACCATGCCCACAGGAGAGCGGTCCCATCCTTCCCATCCCTCTCAGCTGGGATGGATGCGTGGGCTCTGCATCGCCCAGCCGGGCTCCCAGAACAAACCTTGAGGTTGGGCCGTGCCTGCCTTGTGCTGCTGCCACTGTGCCAAAGCGCTGAGCAAAGCAGGGGGAAACCGAGGCCCAGGGGGTTGGGGGAGTCTCACCCAGCTCCCCCCAGGGGAACTGCACCCCCGAGCTGCATGCACAGCCCCGGATCCCTTTCCCAGGGCCAAGAGGAGCCCTGGGAGCTCAGCTCAAGCCCTTGCCCTGCTCAAGCGCTTCCTCCCCCAGCTGGGAAGGGAGCCCAGCCGCGCTGGCTCCCAGCCTGGGGTCCGTCATCGGGCCGGGGGATCGCGGCTGCTGCTCCCAGGGTCTCTCTGTCCTAGGGGGTGACAGGCAGCAAGGGACGTGCTGGAGACGAGGGCGAGCATGGGCACAGCGTGAGTTGGCCGTGGGACTGTCGGGGGTGGAAGAGGGTGGCCCTGGGGACAAGGGGACCCCCATCACCGCATTGCCACTGATGCCCTCCTCTCCCATCCCGAATGCAGGGGGAGCAGGGACCGCGAGGTCTCCACGGCAGCCGAGGGATCCAGGGGTGCCCGGGGCAGTGTGGACCGAAGGTGAGGGGCTGTCCCAGCCCAGCGTGGCGCCATCCCACAGCGTGGGTGCCCACTGCTCCCCGGCTGCTCTCCTCTGTCTTTTTGCAGGGCTTCGTGGGTCACCCTGGGGAGCAGGTACATCCCTGCCTCGTGGTTTATCCTGTGGCTCCTGTGGGCACCGATGGTGGCCAAGGCCATGGACAGCTGGCAGCAGCAGGGAGACCTCGAGGATGGGCAGGGAAGAGAGGGATCTGGGGAGGGGAATGGGAGATGGTCATGATGGATGGAGCGGTGGGATGGCCCGGGGTGCTGTAGGAAGCAGGGCAAAGCCAGGACCTGGCTATTCCACCTTGTGCCATATAACCTGGCATCAGACCATGTCACCTCCCTGCAGGGAGCTCCTGGAGAAGCTGGCTACGATGGCCTGGATGGGGAGCAGGTGAGCTGTGCAGCAGGGCATTGCACCAGCCAGCTGGTGCAACCATCCCTCCATCCCGGCACAGCCGCCTGAGCGGGACGTGGCATGGGCACGGGCACGGGCACGGGCGCAGCCTCTTCTCTCCTTCCCAGGGCGAAGTGGGGGCCCCCGGCCGCCCCGGAGAGAAGGGGTCCCGGGGGAGGCAGGTGCGGTGCCGCACGGCTGAGCCTTGGCGAAGTGCTGCCTCCTTCGCCCGCCGGCTGGTTGCTAAATCCCTTCCTCCTGCCTTCACCTAGGGGCAGAAAGGCTCCCGGGGTGCCCGGGGGGAGAAGGGACCCCCAGGCCCTCGTGGTGAGGTGGTGAGTACCGGCTCACAGCCCTGGGGCTCCACGGGGTGCTGGGGGGCTCACTGAACCCCCTCTCTGCTCCCCAGGGGCCACCTGGGAGGAGAAGCCTGGAGCCTGGCCCCCCAGGGTGGAGAGGAGATGGGGGTCCCCAGGTAAGCGCCCAGGACCGTGCTTAGGGATGCTGGGCGGTGGTGGTGGAGCCTTTTGGGGATGAGACGTGCGGAGGACAGCCAGGAGCTCTGCTTCCCTCTCAACACCTGTGATTTCCAGGGAGACCCCGGCCAGGATGGTCCCCCGGGGCCAGTGGGACCCCCAGGTCCCCCCGCTCACCCGGTATGTGCCACAAGCAGGGGGGGTACAAGGGTCTGCACTGGGTGTCCCTGTGCCACGTGTCCCCGTGCTGGGGACATGGCCGCTGACGATGCCTCCCTCCACAGACCTCGTGCCAGAAAGGGCATCAGGGAGCACAGGTAGGGCTGGCAGTGCCCGAGCACACCGGGGTCCATCTGCCAGGGGACAAGGGACATCTCCCTGCCAGAGCCTGAGCCGTCCTGTCTCCTCCCAGGGGAAGAAGGGGAACCGTGGCAGCCCTGGCCCTGGGGGACAGAAGGGCTATGAAGGTGCCCAGGTGAGGCCAGGGAAGCCCCTGCCAGCCCTGGGACCCCTGGGCAGACATCCCCGCTGCCCCCTCCGCTCTCCCTTTGCAGGGGCTGCCGGGGCCACGGGGGACGAAGGGTGCCACCGGCCACCTGGGGAGCAGAGGACTTCAGGTGCTGTCCCCCTCCTTCTGCTGTGGTCCCCGGTGGGTGCTGGTGGCCACCCTGAGCTGGTGGCCACCCTGAGCCGGTGGCCGTGCCGGTGGGTGCCCACCCCACGGGTGCTCCTTGGCACCCTTGATCCGCCTTTGCCTTTTGCCCAGGGTTTGCCCGGAGCCGAGGGCTCCCAGGGAGCAGCTGGCCCAGTTGGCCCCAAAGGGGAGAAGGTGAGCAGTACCACGGCATGGCATTTCTCAGCCTCCCCCCGTGCACCCCCAGCCTGCAGCCCCGCTTTCTCTTCCAGGGGCAGGCAGGAGCCGAGGGCAGGAAGGGGAGCATGGGACCGCGGGGGCCCAAAGGTGCCCTGGTAAGGCTGTGCCCCTTGGGGACATGGCATCCTCCCGGGGGGCACTGCCACCACGGCAGGCATGGAAAAGCCATGGCCAAGGAAGCTTTGGGAAGAGGGGTGTTTGTGTAGGTCCTACAATAATCTCCTTTGGGATTTTTTTCCCCTCCCAGGGTGAGAATGGGTGTGACCAGAGAGGTGCTCCAGGGAGGAAGGGTGCCAAGGTACCGGCAGCACGGAGCAGGGATGGAGGCGGGTGGGATAAGCGTGGGGCAGAGCTCCGTCCCTGGCCGTGGGGCTGCTGGGGGTCCCAGCCCCGCTCACGTGTGCTGCTTCCCCCAGGGCGCTCGGGGCCTGCTGGGATACCCCGGGGCTCAGGTGAGTGCATGGGGGGCCGGGAGGGGGCATGGGGACCCGGCCAGGGCCAGCCAGTCCCCGCTGTGGGGTGCTGGTAAGGACGGGGTCGGCTTCCTCTGAGTGTCCCCCCCAGGGTGACGGGGGCGAGAGAGGATCCCCAGGGGACAAGGGCGTGCGAGGGCTGCCTGGGCGCAGGGTGAGTACGGTGCAGCCCCCTCCCCCCTCCCCCGCGGCCGTGCCCACCCCATGCTCAACTCCCCAGGGTTTTCCAGGGCCACCCCGGGAGCAGAGGAGAAGTGGGCGGCCGTGGCGGCACAGGACCTCCAGGAGAGATGGTGAATCCCTGCAAATTCCCTTTTTCCTGCCACGTTTCTGCCTGCGACCAGCCCCAGTGCTCAGGGATGTGTTCCTTTTCCATATTTCCTCTTAATTTCTCTCCTCTCCTGCTGCTCCAGGGCCCAAAGGGCTCACCAGGCATTCCCCCCTCCACGGTACGGGATGCTGGTGTAGGGCCAGCTGGGGATGGGGACCCAGCCTCGAGGGGTGTCCTCGGGGGACAGCAAGGAGCTCGGGGGCTGCCTGGCCCCAGCAAGCCTTGCTGGGTTTGCTGGGAAGAGCTGGGCAGGAGAGCTGGGACTGACGCCGCTTCGTGCATCCCTCCAGCCTTGCGAGCTCAAGGCTTTCATCCGCCGGAGCTGCGGTGAGAGCCTGGGACAGCGGCGGGGGGGGGGGGGGGGGGGGGGGGATGGGTGGGCACGGGTACCCTGAGCACGGGATGTCACGGGGGGGCTTTACTGACAATCCCTGAGGTGTCACCATCCCCTCACAGTCACCACCTCGCCCTCCTGCCCGCTGTTCCCCACTGAGTTGGTTCTGGTGCTGGAAACCTCATCCACGGTGCCACCAGCCCTCTTCTCCCGCATGAAGGAGCTGCTGGCCCTGCTGCTGCGGGACCTGCAGATCTCCCCGCTGGGCTGCCCGGCGGGGGCCCGGGTGGCTGTGCTGGCCTACGCGGCCACCCCCACCTACCTGCTGCGTGCCGGGGAGGTGGGGAGCAGGGCCGCGCTGCTGGGACGCCTCCACCGCCTCTCGCCCACCCGCTCCTCCCGGCGCGGCCGCCTGGCCGCTGCCATGCGCTTCGTGGGGCATCACACGCTCAAGAGGGTCCGGCCAGCCGCCCTGAGCAGAAAGGTGGTCCTCTTCGTCACCAGTGGCCAGAACCAGGACCTAGAGGGCATCGGGGAGGCTGCCCTGCAGTACGAAGCCCTGGGCATCATGCCGGCGGTGCTTACCTTCAGCCCGCTGCCCGAGGTGGTGCGGGCTTTCCAGGTGAGCCCTGGGGCTGGTGGCTGCTCCCACTGGTCCCCCCCGAGCCCTCACCCCCTGGCCTGGCTCTGCCTCCTCCCCAGGTCAACAGCCTCTTCCGAGTGGTCCAGCTCTCTGCAGAGGAGCCGGCTGGGGACGCGGCGGTGCTGCGGGATGCGGTGCTGCCCTGCGTCCTCTGCTTCGGTAGGCAGCCCCAGGGCAGCACTGGGGATGGGTGCCCGCTGGCTCCTGGGCTTAGCCTCCATCTCTCCCCATCCCCAGACCTCTGCCACCCTGAGGTCTGCACCGCAGCCGTGCCGTCCCCTGACCTGCTGGACGTGGACTTGGCCTTGGTGGTGGACAACGCGGCCCTGGGGATGCCAGCGGAGAGGCTGGAGGCCATCAGCGAGCTCTTCTACCGCCTTCTGGGGCACCTGCAGCTCGCGGGGCCGGATCTGGCGCAGGGTGGCACCCGCGTCGCCCTGGTGCTGACGGGCCCCTCCACCCCCGGGCAGCGTTTGGCCGAGGTCCCCTTTGGGCTGCTGGGCTCCAGGGAGCAGCTCCGGGAGCGCCTCCGCCTCGCGCTGGTGCCCAGGGCAGCCACGGCATCCACCAGCGGCACGGTGGCGTGGACCCTCCGGCATGCCTTCCTGCAGAGCTCCGGCAGCCGGCTCCGCGTCCTCTTCGTGGTGGGGACAGGGGCCGCAGTGCTGTGGGACAGGGAGGCGCGGCAGGCACTGGCCCCCTTCACCTGGTGCGAGGATTTTGGCATCTTGGTGCTCTCCCTAGGGCGAGCCGGGACGGAGCGGCCGGAGGCGGCCGTGCCTGAGGCGCTGCCAGCGTGGCGGTACCACTCCCTGCGCCTGGGCTCGGTCCACCCGCCTGAGATGGGGTACGCGGAGAGGACGGCGCTGGGCTTCCTCAGGAGACTGCGGGGTGAGCGGCAGCGGGGAGGTCTTGGGGGGCTGGAGCATCTCCGGGGCTGCTCCGGGGGGAGGCAGCTTCGATCCCCAAAACCTCTTTGCCGGCACCTTCTTCACACCTCTGCTATCACTTCTGCTCCGCAGTGGAGAGCAGCCAGCGGCCCAGCACCCCAGGGTGCCCCCAGGAGCTGCCCGCCCCCGGCACCAGGACCAGCGAGCCCCCCCCGGGGACCCCTGCGCAGTGAGTGAGCGGCACCAGGGCCATCCCCTGCGTGCGCATCCCTCAGTCCCCTGCGACACAAACTGGGGGGCTGGGGGGTTGCACCTCCTCTTCTCAGGGATGGGGTCCTCTGTCCCCCAGCACGTACTGGGGGGTTTGCTCTGATTTCCCCTCCCAGGACCCCCAAGGTCCCCACCGTGGCCCGCACCGGGATGCCCACAGCATCCCTTGGCCCCAGCAAGGGCCGGAGGGCTGCGGCCGTTCCCGGACCGTGCGCCCTGGACAAGGACCCTGGCAGCGCCTGTGCCCCCTTCTCCGTGATGTGGTACCACCGGTGGGAGACAGGGTCCTGCGAGCGCTTCTGGTACGGGGGCTGCGGGGGCAACGCCAACCGCTTCGGCAGCAAGCGGGACTGCATCCGCGCCTGCACGGATCCGGGTAGGTGGGGGTGGGCATCCCACTGGGGACTGGGGGGCCACGGGGTACCCCCAGCCCAGGCAGGGGACATGGCTGAGGTTTCGGTGCTGCTGCTTGGCTGATGCTGTGACCATCCCGGGCAGGTCCCGACAGAGCCAGCGTGGGCGAGAGCAACGTGACGCAGGGTGAGGAGCGTGCAAGGAGGGGCTGGGTGTCTTTGGAGGGGGTGACTCAAGAGCAGAGAGCAGGCAGGGAGGGAGGCAGGCAGGGCTGCCAGCTCATGCACCGGCTGGGTCGTGGGGTGCATTTCCCGGCATGCAACCATGCCACGCGCTCTGGCCGTGCCGTGAGTGTGCCATGCCGCCCGCCTTGCAGCCGCCTGCCTGGAGGCACGGGATGCGGGGCCTTGCCACTCCTTCTCGCCCAAGTGGTTCTTCGAGGGCCACCAGCACGGCCGTTGCTCACTCTTCTGGTATGGGGGCTGTGGCGGCAGCTGCAACCGCTTTGAGAGCCAGGAGCAGTGCGAAGCTGCCTGCCTGCCACCGGGCAGGGCGAGCCCCCCGACCCCCCGCCCTGCCAACACCTCCGCCTGCACCCCTGCGCCCAGCTGCCGAGGCTGACACCCCACATCGGGATCCAGGGTGCCCCTGGTCCCCTGGGATGCGGCACCCGGAGACGCAGCGCTCGCCCTCTGCAAACCTTGCCTGCCCCCGCCTGTGCAGGCTCGAGAAACGAGGACGCTTGAATTATTGCACAAGGACTTCGAGGTCCTGCCAAGTTTCTGACAGCTCGTCTTCAGCTGCTCCATCATGGGGTGGGGAGGTTGAGCCGGTGGCGGGGCTGCTGAGCACTTGCAAAACTCTGCACACCCCCTGCCATCCGCTGCTCCGGGTGGATGCTGGTACCCAGGGCTGGCTGGTCAGCCTGGGAGCCTTTCAAATAAAAACCACACCACATTTCGTGCTCGCTCATGCAGCTGGGCTGGGGAAGGGCGAGGGTTTGGGGGTGAGTGCTCCGGAGCTGCAGAAGGCCCTGGATGGATGCGCCGCATCCCGGCCAGCCGCAGCTGCACTCTCCCTGCGGGGAGCAGCTTCTCTGGCTGCCAGGAGCAGGGAGCAGGGGCCGGATCCAGGCGTGGGGGTGGCGGGGTGCTTGTGGCCCCCACCCCGGGTCGGCCACGACGCCGGCGGGAGGGAGCTGCGCTGCTGGCGGGCTCCTGTCCCGGGGGGCTGCGGCTGCGCTGCTCCACGCTCCCCCCTCGTCCTGAATGCTCAGCCCCAGGCCAGCATCCCGGTCCTAATAACGCCCAATCCTTATAACACCAGCATCCCAGTCCTAGTAACGCCCAATCCTTATAACACCAGCATCCCAGTCCTAATAATCCCAGTCCTCGGGCAGCAGCCGGTGGCTGTGGCCACATTTGACACGGGCTGTCACCAGGAATAGCTCCGAGCCCTCATTCTTCCCCTTATCCTTTATTCAGTTCTGCAGGGCGGGAGAGGACAGATACATTTTTCAGGACAGCCTTGGCTCTGGCAGGAGGAGGGGGCAGCTCAGGTCGGTCCCGTGCCCTGGTGCTGAGCGATGCTCGGGGGTGCCTCCCGTGAACTCCCAGGCTGTGGCTGCAGCAGAAATTCGCCTAAACACTGCTCAGAGCCACTAAATGTATTTTTAAGGCAAAGGAAGCCGGGAGTTGCCGGCAGCCAGGCGACCAGGGAGCGAAGAACTGGAACGGAGAATTTTGTTTCTTTAAATGTCATGTTTTTTTAAGCTCATTTTTGCACTCAGGTTTGGCAAAGCTGAGAAGACTTAAGTGACAAACCAGCTGTCCCCTGGCGCAGCGCGGCGCTCGCCCAAGCAGACACCCACCCACCGCCTCCAGCCCCCCAGCACCGCGTTTGCAGCAGGGATGCGGTGCCGCACGGCGAAGCAGAGCCCCCCGTGCCCCTCCAATGCCAACCCCCCCTGACCCCACAACCTCCTGCTCAGCCCCACAGCGTCGCATGGGCCCCAGCACCTCCCGAAACTGGGTTGGGTGGAGGGGCTGCCGGCGGGGGCAGCTGCGGAGGTGTTGGTGATGCTCCCGGAGGGACGGAGGGGCTGCGGCAATGCCGTGTCCGTTGGGGATGCTGCAAGGCAAACCTGGCACCGTGAGGGTGCCGGTGGGTGGGTGGGGGTCCCCCAGCCCTCCCTGCCAGCCCTCTGCCCACTCCTGTGGGCAGCGGGACCCTTTGCACTCACCCAGCAAGGCTAAGCCCAGTAGACGGGGATGATGCTGCAGAGGATGCTCGCCGTGGTGCCCAGGAGGGAGCGATCAGCCAGGGGCATGGCGAGCCTCTTTTCAGCCTGGCGAGGGGAGAGAAGGAAAAACAAGGCAGCAGCGGTGCGATGCTGCACCCCAATTCTTCATCGGGGGGGTTGCACGAGGCACCGTGCCCGGGGCATTGCTATGTGCCCCCTGTCCTGCCCCAGCCGGTGCCAAGCGGGGCGGCCGGCACTCACCTGCCGGCGCTGGAAGGTCTCGGCAACGGTGTCCAGCCCTGGGATGTTGTCCTTGTCCACGCGGGTGATGTAGCAGGCGCGGTGGAGCTGGGATCTGTAGCTCACCAGCAGCTGTTTGCAGACAGACCCGCATCAGCTCAGCCCCATCACCCCTTCCCCATCCCTCCGGCTGCACAGGGCTTCTTGCTTACGTTCTTGTAATCATAGATGACCGTGGCCGGGTTTCCATCCCCACCGTCCAGGTAGAAAGTGGCCACATCCTCTTCCCAGGCCGGTCCTCTCCACAACCCCATCCGCAGGACCTGGGGGGCACGGGGGGAGCTCACCGCCTGCCGCAGCCCCTCCCCGGGGGCAGCGGGAGTCCCTACTTACGGTGTCAGCATGCCGCTGGTCCGCGCGCAGCCACATCAGCAAGGCGCCGGCGATGATGACCACCAGCAGGACCACCACCACCACCACGATGAGGAGGCACTTGAGGTGGTGGCAGCTGAGGAGCTTGCGGGGCAGGTAGCAGAGCAGGCGAGGCACGAAGCACAGGGACCGCTTGATGCAGGCGCAGCCAGGGCAGCCAGAGCAGCTGGGGCATTTGCAGCACCGGGGCATGCAGCACCGGGCGCATTTGGAACAGCAAACGGCGCAGGGCCAGCAACAGCAGCCAGGCTTGCAGCATCCCTGGGAGCAGCAGCCCTTCTCCGGGTCCTGCGGGCATGGGAAAGGCGGAGAGCTGGGGTGAGCGGGAAGGAGATGGGAGCTGGGGGATGCAGGTGGGCTGTGCTGGGCTTGCCCCAGGGAGCAGCTCCCATCCCGCTTCCCCTGAGCTCTGGGGATGCAGCATCCCACCGGCCCTTGCTCCATCCTACATGCACCGGTGCCTCTCTGGAATAAACTGGGCAAAGCCCTGTGCCAAGCATCTCTGCCAGGCACGGGGACACCCCCAGCGTGACCGTGCCACCCCGCTGCGGGTCGCAGGGACTCACCAGTGGCTCTTCAATCACCACCTGCTTCATGCTGCTCTCCATGGCTGCCGCCCCCGCCGCCCCCCTCCTCCTCCTCCCAGCCCAGGCAGCCTCAAAGCAGCCAGGGCAGAGGGCTTTATACCGGGGCGCGGGGGTGGGGAGCAGGGCGACCCCTGTGAACAGGCTTGTGGCCCCGGTGTGCAATCGGGCTCTGACGTGCAATCCACTTCGCTTGTGTTTGCTGACCGCCTTCCCCAGGGCTGGATTCCCCTGGGAACCCGCTGGTCAAGAGGCTCTGAGGACACTTGTCCCCAAGCACGGGGACATCTCTGCTGCCCAGGAGCGAAGTGTCGGGGCCAAAGCAAACCCTCCTGCGCGGGTTAGAGCTGCCCTCCAGGGTGGAGCATCCGGCAATGGCCGCAGCCAAGGCGAGACCTGGCTTGGTGCCCATGTCCCTTCACCAGCTCGAGCACCTGGAGCTGCTCGAGGCGGGCAAAGTGCGGACGGGACATCAAAGCTTTCCCACAAACAGCAAGGCTGGGGTGGGAGCGTGGTCACCACGGGGTGAGGACATGTCCCCGGAGCATGGCCAGGCTGGGTGCTCCGCAGCCTTGGTCCCAAGGATGCTTGGGCACCACGGGGGCTTGTGTTGCCAATGCTGGGGCTTTTGGGGCTGCCCGCGGTGTGGATTTGCTTAGGGGACGGGGGTCCCGCCTCTGGCGTGTCACCCTGAGTGCTGCAATCAGCAGGGCAGGGTGACACCGCTCTGCCTTGGTCTTGTCTGGACATGAGCCTCTCCTGCAGTTGGGCTCAGGCTGGGACCTCTCCAGCCACCCCTGGGCCGCCTCCTTGGCACCCTGGGACCCCAGATGCTTGCAGGAGGGTGTGGGGGTGTGGGTGTGCACCCCGTGTTGCACGCTGCCTCCTGTCCCAGGGTGTCAAGGAGCACGGGAGACCCTTGAGTGGCTCCTGGCTGTTTGCTCTCCGACACCGTGTGCAGGAGAGGCCGTGGGAGCCCTTATCGCCTTCCTCGGCGGTGTGCACCCTTCTCGACCCGGCTCCTTGCCAGGGTAATGCAGGGTCAGGGCATTTTGGGGAGCAGAGCTGCTGGCCCCGTGTCGACACATGGCAACGGGCAGTTTCCCTCCTGTTCCCAGCAAAGCGTCAGCCCCCAGGAGCTGGGACCCTCCTCGCTGCCCGTGGCAGTGGCTATGGGGACAACCCTGAGTTAGCACCCGTTGAAAGGTTAAATCACGCTGCCCAGCACCGCTGTGCTCCTAGGGGGGCTGGCTCGGGTCCTCCTGGGGTCCCGTTTCTCCCTCCCAGCCCCGTTCATCCCCTGTTCTCCCATGCAGTGTGTGGAGGTGCCCCCCAAGGATGCTCCCAGCTGCTTTGGGGCAGAGGAGCTGGAGCTGCTGGGGATGGGGAGCGGACGGGGGATGGAGGAGAGCTGGAGCAAGTGGATTGTGGATGCCCTGCTCAGCCCAGGGCTTGGATCTCAGCGGGGATGTGGCACAGTCCCTCTGTCCCTGTCTGCACATGGAGGGGACAAGGATGGGGACCTGTCCCAGAGGGGTGGCCCAGGCCCCGCAGGGGTGCCCGGGGCTGGCTGGGTGCGCTGCTTGTGCCCATGGGCTGGAGGAACAGAGGCTGCCCCTGCCATCTCGTCCTCCCTCCATGCAAACCGGGAGGGCAGAGGTGGGGACACTGGCCATGCAGCCTGGGAGCATGGTGTGCAACGTGGGGGTGTGTGCCGCTGCCCCGGGGAGCAGTGTCTGAGCCCTCCTGTGCTCCTCGCCTGGGGCTGGACTGAGCACACCGACACAAAAGATGCATCTACCCCCACTGGACCCCGCAGGGAGACATCCCTGGGGCACCGTGCCACCTCTCCCCAGCACTCTGGGAAGGGCTGTTTGACCAGCGCAGGGGGAAAGACAAAAGCAGCACTCGGAAGCAGGGGCGCAGGCTTTACTTTGCAGACAGAAGCATGAATCCCAAAGCAAATCCCACTTGTTTATTGCAATTGCCATGGAAAAGCCGCGGTGCCGAGCGGCTGTGGACAGAGCACCCCGACTGCGGGGCAGCTGCCCCTGGGCCACATGCGGGATGGAGCCATGGAGGAGGAGAGATGCCCAGGCACTGTCTTGCCGGCATCCCACCTGGAAGGCAATGCTGGGAGCATGGGGACAGTGACATCCCCGTCTCGCTGTCCCATCCCCCTGAGACCCGACCCCAGCCGGTGCTACGCCCAGTAGACGGGGACGGTGCTGCAGAGGATGTTAACGGTGGTGCCCAGGATGGAGCGGTCAGCCAGGGGCACGGTGTTGTCCCCGGCCTCCTTCGTCTCAGCCTGCAGGAGAGAGAACGGAGTGGGGACTGCCACCCTTGGCCCCCAGCAGCCTCCCCTCCAGCGGACGTTTGCCGCAAGCCCAGCAGCCCCCTACTTCGCCCCGGCTGCCCAGGACGCAGGGGCTGGGCTGGGCTGGGCTGACGCCCCACTCACCTGCCGGCGCTGGAAGGTCTCGGTGATGGCATCCAGCCCCGGGATGTTGTCCTTGTCCACGCGGGTGATGTAGCAGGCGTGGTGACGCCAGGACCTGTAGCCGACCAGCAGCTGTTTGCAGACAGACTCGGGTCAGCTCAGCCCCGTCCCCGCCACCACCACCCGCCCCATCGTGCCCCATCCCCGGGCTGCCCGTGCACCTTGCTGTAGTCATACACCACCATGGCGGAGGCGTTGAGCCCGTCCCGCACGGCGAACGTCCCGGTCCTTTCCTTCTTGCTCATGGAGAGGTGCTGGGGGGTCCCTTCGCCATCCAGGCCATGGATGGTCATTCGCAAGACCTGCCAGGCAGAGGGGGGGTCAGGGAGCTTTGCGGGGTCTAAACCCCATCCCAGCAAAGCGCCGGCAGCCGGTGCCATTCCCAAACCCATCACCGGAGCCGGTGGCACCATGGCTCGCTCCCCAGCCCTGCCTCACCGTTTCGGCGTGCGTCTCGGTGATGTGCAGCCCCAGGAGCAGGAAGGCAACGATGACCACTACCAGGACGACCACCACCACCACCACGATCAGGAGGCACTTGAGCTGGTGGGGGATGCAGGGCAGGCGGGGGGAGGCCGTGTACCTCTGGGGACAGAGAGGAGCACCCGGCTGAGCTGTTGGCGTGGAGCCGGGGAAGGCAGCCAGTGCTCAGCCCCACACCGGCTCCCCGGGCTGGGTGATGGGTGCTCCTTACCGGAGGTGCCTCCTCCATCAGCGCCTCTTTGGAGCTGCCGTCCATCTCACCCTCCCTCGCCGTGCGGCTCCTGTCCCTTTGCCAGCCGGAGACGGGGGGATTTATAGGGACCCTGGGTGGGTGGGAGGAGGCTGGGGCCGCCCCGGCTGCTAAGGTGCCACTTGTGCTCTGTTTGCTGAGCCCAGAGAGGAGCCAAGGAGGGGGCATGAAGCCTCCGAGGGCCCTTTACCGGCATTTGGCCAGCAGTGGGGGGGTAAAGGCAAATAGCGGGCAGGCAGAGCGTGCCCGCCCTCCACACCCAGCCCCAGGCTCTGGCCAAGGACCCAGCACCCTTAGCACACATCTCTGGGGGTGCTGCACCCCTGGTCCCTGCGGCCCCGCGCATGGGCAGCTGTGCCCCCCCCCGGCACGGGGAAGGAGCTGGCTGGGCTCATTGTTGGCCGGGAGCGCCGTGCCTGGGACGGGACGGACGGGTGCCCAGCACCTCCCGCCACCCTGCAGCGCTCGCTGCCAGGCCAGGCAGAGAGCTGGCGTGGGCAGCGCTGCAGCACAGGCACCCGGGCGAAGCAACGGGGCGGGAGAGCCGCAGTAGCATCACCCCTGCAAACTCCTGCGGGTACCCTCCTGTCCCCCATCCCGGTGCACCCCGAGAGCACCCTGCTCCCAGCGGCTGCCCCCGCCGCGGCGTGCACCCCCATCTTTGCACGCTCGCACGCTGGTGAGGACACGCGTCCACACGGATGCTCGTGCTGTCACTCAGCCGCATCCCTCCCTCCCTCCCTCCTTCCCGCAGCACAGGAGCATGGTGCGCTGCAGAGCAGCGGGTCGGGCGCCGGCAGCCTCCACCGCCACCATCGCTTCCCCTCCACACTGAAATCTCCAGGGAAGGAGGAGAGGAAAAAGCTTCGCTGCGGCTCCTGGGCACAGCAGGAGAAGAGGGACCAGCTCCGGAGGAGAAAGCAGGGCTAGGCCAGAGCGATGGAGCTGTGGCACAGGAGGAGGATGCCGAGGGGCCAGCTCTCTGCTCTCCTCCTCCTCGCCTTGGCCTGGCTCTGGCTGCCGGCAGGGGGTCGGCGTCCCCCCCGGCCACCCCCTTGCCCCCCGAGCTGCTCCTGCACCCGGGACACAGCTTTCTGTGTGGACTCCAAGGCCGTGCCCAGGAATCTGCCCCCCGAGGTCATCTCGCTGTGAGTACCCAGGCTGCGGGATGGGGACAGGGGTGGGGATGGGGAGCAGGGTGCGGGGCTGGCAGGGGCTGCTGGCTGCCCTGGGGTGGCAGGGACAGCCTCTTTCTTTGTGCTGCATCAGGGGCAAATGCGTGCCCGTGTGGGCCACGGGCAGTGCAGGAGTCTCCTGTGGAAAGGAGAGGGCTGGGGACACCGCAGGACCAGTCCCCATGTCCTGCTCTCCTGCGGTGGCGGCAGGTCTCCTTGCACACGCAGCCATCCATCAGTGACAGATGGAGCAGGGCTGCAGCCCGTCCCCGCCGTGCTCCCCGTCTGCCGTGACCTTGGGGACCAGAGCCCCAAGGGGACACGGCTGGCGGGTCCTGATGCACGGTCCCTGGGGACACGGAGGTACACCGGAGCCTTCCACAGGCGTGCGAGTGCGTGCGTAGTGGATGCATGTGTGTGTGCAGGCATGCGTGTGCATGCGTGTACACGCGTGTGTGCATGCGTGTGCACTCGGGCCGGGGGGTGCTGCAGGGCGTGGGTATGTATGGGGTGGGTGCCAGCCCCTGGGGGCTGCTGTGGGGCTGAGGGCCTCGTCCCCTCTGTGCCACCCACAGCAGGCAGGATTGCTGCTGGGGCCACTCTCCCAGGGGCTGCCCCCCGCCCAGCACCCTCCCCGCGGAGCCGGGGCTGCGGGGGTCTGCCCTGGCACGCCCCAGGTGACAGCAGAGATGGTGCTGAGGGGCACGGGGGTGGCGGAGCCCCCCTGCTGCCGTCCCCTCTCCCGCATAGCCCTGAAGCTTCGTCTTGCCGGCAGGACGATGGTGAACGCAGCCTTCACGGAGATCCGAGAGGCAGCCTTCGCCCACATCCCCTCGCTGCAGTTCCTGTACGTCTCCCGTGCCGGCGGCTGGGCAGCCCGGCGCCCGCTGTGCCCATCCTGCCCAAGCCCGGTGCTGACGCCTCCTCCCTCTCTTTGCAGCCTCCTGAACTCCAACAAGTTCACGCTGATCGGGGACAACGCCTTCGCTGGCCTCTCGCATCTCCAGTACCTGTGCGTGGGATGGGGACGGGAACACGGGGACGGGAACGTGGGGACAGGAATGTGGGGATGGCCTTGGACATGGCATGGGGAGAGCATGGGGTATCCGCAGGGACCAGTCCCCTCAGGGCGACCATGCCACCATCTCCTCCTGCCCCAGGTTCATCGAGAACAACGACATCCAGGCGCTCTCGAAGGCCACTTTCCGTGGGCTCAAGTCCCTGACCCACCTGTGAGTACCGGGGGGTCCCGCGTTCCCTGGGGACACGGGGGACGGCTCTTGCCCCTTCCCTGCAGCCAGGGCTGTGTCGCCTCCTTGGCCGCTCTTATCCCCCAGGTCCTTGGCCAACAACAACCTGCAGACGCTGCCCCGGGACCTCTTCAAGCCGCTGGACATCCTGAGCGACCTGTAAGGCTGCCGCAGCACTGGGGACACCCAGGACACCAGGCTGGGGAGGGGGTGACACGCCGGTGCTCGGGGTTTGGGCAGGGTGCTCTGCTCGCTCTGGACTGGGTGCTGGGGGTGACTCGGTGCCGTCCTTGGCAGGGACCTCCGGGGCAACACGCTGGCCTGCGACTGCAAGATCAAGTGGCTGGTAGAATGGCTGGAGAGCACCAACACCACGGTCCCCGCCATCTTCTGCAGCAGCCCCGGGCAGTTCGAGGGCCAGCGGATCCGGGACCTGGCACTCGGTGACTTCCAGTGCATCACCACAGGTAAGAGACTGCGGCCGCCCGTCACCCCACTCCTGGGCACCCGGACCCTCACCGCCGCCTCTCCCCCCCAGACTTCGTGGTGCATCAGGTCCTGCCCTTCCAGTCGGTGTCGGCTGAGCCCTTCACCTACGCCAGCGACCTGTACGTCGCCCTGGCACAGCCCGGCGCCAGCAGCTGCGCCGTCCTCAAGTGGGACTACGTGGAGCGCAAGCTGCGTGACTTTGACCGCATCCCCGGTAAGGAATCTAGGGTGGGGTCCCCTCCCGGGTTGGGACCCCCCCGTTTGGGTGATTTGGGAAGGGCACGGCCCCGTCGTGATGTGGTCCTGCCTGGCAGCTCACTCGGCGGTGCACTGCAAGCCCATCGTGGCGGAGAACCAGCTGTACGTGGTGGTGGCCCAGCTTTTCGGCGGCTCCTACATCTACCGCTGGGACACTGCCGTGGACAAGTTCATCAAGATCCAGGACATCGACAGCCAGAAGACCCGCAAGCCTAACGACATCGAGGCCTTCCAGATCGAAGGCGACTGGTACTTTGTCATCGCCGACAGCTCCAAGGCGGGCTCCACCAGCCTCTACCGCCTCAACCAGAATGGCTTCTACTCCCACCAAGCCCTCCATGCCTGGCACCGCGACACCGACGTGGAATACATGGAGAACGACGGCAAACCCCGGCTGATCATCTCCAGCAGCTCCCAAGCCCCCGTCATCTACCAGTGGAACCGGGCGCAGAAGCAATTCGTGCTCCAGGGGGAGGTGGGGGAGATGCTGGACGTGCAGATGGTGAAGCACTTCAGGGTGAAGCGGGACCAATTCCTCTGCCTCAGCCGCTACATCGGTGACTCCAAGGTAGTGCGATGGGAAGGGCAGCGCTTCGTTGAGCTCCAGACGCTGCCGTCCCGCGGCTCCATGGTGATGCAGCCCTTCTCGGTGGAGCAGCGGCAGTACCTGGCCCTGGGCAGTGACTTCTCCTTCACCCACGTCTACCTGTGGGAAGAGGAGAAGCAAAAATTCGTCAAGTTTCAGGAGCTGTCGGTACAGGCGCCGCGGGCTTTCCGCTACGTGCCGGCTGCCGACGTGCAGCTCCTCTTGGCTCCCAGCTTCAAGGCCAACACGCTGGTCTACCGGCATGTGGTGGTGGACCTCAGCCTTTAGCGGGGAGGCAGAGCCCGGGCTGCCTGCGCGGCACCGACGAGGCTCTCGCCTCCCCCGAGAGCTGCCTGCTCCTGCCCGAGGACACGCATGCGCCCGCCAGCCCCTTCCTCCTGCCTGCAGCCGACTCTGCCCCGTGGTCACAGCCCGGTGCCAGCCTCCCTCCTGGCCCCCCACGTTCACCCACCCCTCGGCAGCACCCAGCCCCACGGCCCCACTGCCCGGGGAAGCCATGGGCCTCAGTTTCCCCATGTGCGGCACCCACAGCCACCCCGTCCAGCAGCCCGTGGGACGTGGACAGGAGGGTGGGACACCCCTCGCCCTGCAGACCGGTGCCCTTGGGTGCCTGCTCTGCAGCGCTAGCTGGGCTGGCAGGGATGGGGGGGCACGGGAGCCGGAGGCTTGCGGCAGGGAGGTCTGGGGGCACAGGAGTGGGGCAGCAGGCAGGGATGTGAACAGGCAGGGCCAGACTGCCAGGGCTGGATGGGATGCTCCCAGGACACTGGGGTGCTCCCAGGCCGATGGGATGCTCCAAAGTGAATGGGATGCCTGAGGTGGATGGGATGCTCCGAGGCAGATGGGATGCTCCGAGGTGGATGCAGATGGGATGCCCCAAAGTGGATGGGATGCTCAAGGCCAGTGGGATGCTCCAGGCTGGCGGGATGCTGCCAAGGCAGTGCCACCACCGGCAGAAGCAGGGCTGGCCTGCTCTCGTCCCTTTCCGTGCATGTCCAGCAGCTCCCTCTGCCCGTGTCCCCCCGCTGCCGGGCAGGACCCAGCGAGCCAGCCGTACCCGAGGTGTACGTGTCCGCCGAAACGCTCCCCACAATAAACACACTGTGACACCCAGCCCTGCCTGCGTCTGCCCACGGCTGCCGCGCGTCCAGCTGCCCTGTGTCCCTTCCCGGGGGTCCCGCTCCAGCCGGGGTCCTGCAGCACCCCTTTCCTTGTACAAGCCCAGGAGGGGGGAACCCCTTGTTTTAGGGTCCTAAAACTGCAGATGCCTTGGCTGGGGGGGAAGCAGGAGGTGTTTCCCCAGGGAGAGGAGTCCCCGCTGCAGCCTGCTGCACCCCGAGCTGCACCAGCAGCCGCGCAGCCGCCCAGCTGGTTTTCCAGGGGAGCATTTCCCTGTCCCCCAGGTATATAAATATGCATGTGAAAAACCACCAATTAAACTCACAAATAAAGATCCTCTCAAAGGTAACAGGCACCCCGGGGCACAGCCAGCTTTTGGGAGCCGGGTTTGGCCTCGGTGGCTGCAGAGCCTGAACCTGGTCCCTTCCCTGGTGCAGCCCCCGCAGCCGGATCCAGCCCTGCTGTGGGTACAAGGCAGGGCACAGCACCCAGCCCTCACTGGTGCCACAGCAGGGCATTGCCACACTTCTCTGCCTCAATTTCCCCACCGGGAAAGGGCAGATTTTAAAGCCAGGCGGCAAGCAGAGGCCCTGACTGGGATGGGGGAGCCAGGATACCCTGGACCACTGCTGGGGATGCATGGTCAAGGGGAAGGTGGCCCAAGGAGGTGATGCCGGGTCCAGCGGGGAGGACTCTGAGCCCCGCTCCGGTTTCAGGAAGAGCAAACAGCTTCTATTTTCTCCCGAGCATCTTGCAGGGATCCGCGCCTGCCGCAGAAAAAGTTCAGCAACACGCCCGAGCTCGGGTGCTTAAGGTTAAGCGCACATATAAACCCAGGTGAGGCGTGCCGGGAAGGGGATTTTGCAGCAGCTAAGGCTAAACCCCGCTGAATCAACACACCAGGGTGGTGCCTGCACATCTGACTCCCTTGGCATGACCCAGCAGCGCTCCCACCTCCGCCCAAAACCCCCAGCTCCCGCACCCTGCCCTCTCGCACCCCGGGGTATGGCGCTGGGGTGCCCCGGGGCTCCCCACACCACATCACAAAAAAACACCCCCTCCAAAACCAAAAAGAAGTCCCCAGCAAAGGGTCTGTCTTTCCCTCCCTTCCTTGCCTGCTTGCTGCTTTGAAAGAAAAAACATTAATACAAGCCCAACTTGGTGGGGACGGCCGCAAAGCGCCGGACCCTACCAGGAGGGCGTGGCCCTTTTAAGAGCCGCCGTTGCCCTTTTAAGAGGGCGGGCGCATGCGCGGGGCCGCCCGTTGCGCTGTTCAC